AAGTTTGATGGATGAATTTGATTGGTGGGTAAAATAATGGATTGGAAAAAAGAGAAATGTTATACGTACATAATATTGTAATAGAGAGATATACATAACACTCACATTAAGTAGGTCCTACCAAAAATAAAAAATCAAGTAGACCCCAATCCATGTGAGTATTATATACATCTCTATGTACATGTATTATGTACTTATAGCATTTTTCTGGAAAATATATCCAACCGGGCAAAGTTCTAACTGGGGGTGTTCACAGTTCGGATTGGTCCGGTTTTAGTCCAAACCATGACCAAACCGGATCTAACGGTTAATTTTTTTTCTTGTCCATAACCGGACCGGTTTTATTTTTTAACCGACCATAATCCGGACCGCATTGGACGGTCCGGTTTGGCGGTTAACTGGTTAAATCCAAAATCCTTGTTTTGGACCTTTAATTTTTATTTTTTTTATTTTGGGTTTAGTTTTTATTTTTCAATTTTGGGTCAAAAAGAGATTATTTGGGCCTAAAAATTAAGAAAAACAACAATCATGAAATAAAAAAATATACAATTCGTTCCATAAGCATAAAAATACACATTTCGTCCCACAAACATAAAAATACAAAAATGATGAAGATTAAATTATTCAAATTGAACTCAAGCAAGCATTCATATTTCAGTCAGTTTATACACCTGGAATAATAAGAGCAAAGCATTCATAGTTAATGTATTGTATCTGTCGGCCATAGTGAATGACTTAATGTATATATATATATATTTGTTATAGTTTTTTAATATTTACCGGTCCGGTCCGGTTAAACCGGCGGTTTGCCGAAGGTAATCCGTTAACCGGACCGGTTATTCCGGAGTTTTAGAAAAATTAACCACCGGATTTTTTAAGGCTTTTTTAACTGACCATTTAACCGATCCGCGGTCCGGATTGACGATTTTTTACGGTTAAAACCGGACCGTGAACACCCCTAGTTCTAACCAATGGTTGGTAAAAAAATATGAGGTAGGATGAGAGCAGAAGATTTTTATAATTCCAAGTCAATTTGGGTCTATCTCACCCAAAAATGAGAGAGTTTCATAACACCGCGTAAGTAAAACGTGCCTCAGCAGAACAGTATTAGCTTTCATTTCCTCATGCAACTGACAAAACTTGTTTGCAAATGCCATAAAACATGACAACAGCCATGCAAACACTAGTTACATCCAATCCCAACACCATAAAACTTAAAAACAAATTCCCCAAAAAGCTACAGAGCTTCACATTTCAATCACTCGATAAACGGCACCCCTGATGCCGTCCGTCTAGCATACTCCTCGTAATTCGAACCAAAAAACTGTCTCAGAAAGAACTCCTCGTACGGTATTCTCTGCTGGAAAAAACGCCAGACAAGGAGCGCAAAAGCAACTGAAGCCAATGGGTTACAGAGCATTATCTGTGTACCTACTGACCATATGAAAAAGCCACAATAGCTCGGGTGCCTCGTATACTTATAAACCCCGTGAGTTATCAATACATGATCATCATCGTGATATCTCCTTATGAGATGAGTAAAAGACCTACCAGCGGTTATTATAGCTGATTTCCGTATAATTTCGCCAACTACCACCATTGCTAGGCCCGTGTTGCTTATGGACCAGTGTTCTTTTGTGCCCGGGAAAAAATATATTTCTATAACGTACTCTACCAAGGAACAAATCATGGCCAGGATATAGTTCCTGCTTATTAAAAGAGACTTTAGGGATACATTGTTTTTCCCCTGAATGGCCAATGCCAGAACATACTCTGAACAGTGGAAGAAGATAACGGCAAATAACATTTGAGACAGCTGTCTACCTGCCGTGTGGTTGAAGGTTTCTGTCATTTTACCAAAACAAAAATTAAATAATTGAAAACAGATTTTTTTTTTCCTCAGAATTGAAGGATTAGTTTCATTCTTTGAGTCATCTAGTAGGAAACTCAGATGAGTTGGACTTGCATTTCCCCAGTTTTTACTTCGGACCTGAAGAGATTGCTGAGAAGCGAGATGCTAGGAATGAGAGACAGGGCTCTAATTCACCATAAACATACGTGAGGAACGACATTCCTGAGGATAGAATGAGATAGAAATTAAGGTGTGCAGGTAAAACAGATGGAAAAATTATCAACTCAACCAAAGTAAAAGACAATTGCATGAACTAGGGCTGTTATCGAACCGAACTTTCGCGAACAAAAGCTCCTTCATTTGTTAATCAAGCCGAGTTCAAACAGAAAATTACCTAATGGAACGAACACGAGCTCGTTTGCGAACGTTCGATAATGTTAACGAACTTTAATTAATATTATTTTATTTTATTATTATATTTATATGATATTTTTAATAAAAACCTAAAATATAAAAATATTTTTATTTTATTTGTTTATTCTTGAGCTCTAACGTGTTCGATCGAACAAATTTAAACTTTATCAAGCAATTTTAAAAAGTATGTTTCTTAAATTATTCGAACATGAACGAACTCGAACTTTGACGAACAATTAAACAAACGAGCTTGAACACCAAATTTTGCTTAAAAAGTAAACGAACGAACATGAGCTCAAAATTCCCAAGCTGGACTCGTTCGGTTCAATTACAGCACTAGTTGCATCCAATTTATAACTAGAACATCTTTAGTGTATGGACTATGGACTACCCCACTTCTTAGACACACTGACACACAAGGATTGGATACCGGGAAGCACCATTTTTTTTCCCATTCCAATGCTCTTAAACAATCTGGACTTGTAGTTCCAATCTTCATTTCAAGAAGCCCTTGAACAGCCATAATACTCTTCATATTAATGTATAATGATAGCCAATTCCACCTCACATGCATTCTTCAAATATGAGTACGGAAAAATATGATTAGTTTATAATTATTAACCAAGTATAACCTATCAATTGTTCTCATATTTTTAGTACTATCTCCAACAACATACTATCTTGTTCTATTTGACAAGAAAAAAAGATATACCCGACTGATTGTTCCTTTTCGGCAATGCAGGATAGAAAACTTTTGCAGCTGATCAATGAATACAAGTATAAAATCACGTTGTAAACTTGTCAACCAGGTAATGCTCTATGTTTCATAATACGAGAGTGATGAACCATGCAATAAAGGAAAAGTCAAGAATCAGGCGACGTGTGCTGTAACTGCAAAATCTCTAAGAAGAATTCAATTTTCCCTCTGCCTTCAGATCAGGATTTAGCCAGCGACAATAGTCTATAGCACACTCAAGCTAACTGGTATAGAAGCCAATTCCTACTCTCACCTTATATCTTTAATCAGCTGCACATTTCCTACTTTGCTATTTTTCCACAATTTAATAGATCCAACCAATTTGGTAACTAGATTTACAACCATTTTCTAAACAAAGGATAATGCATATGCAAATTGAAAGAAATGTAACTAACTAGCAATCAGAAGCATCCACTAACAACACACTAACAAGTATACACACACACACACACATATATATTGAAAATTGAAAAGAAACTACGATAGTTGAGTCAAGTTAGAGCACAATACCATCCCTTATAATTCTTCTTAAAAAGTAGACGCTGGGTGACCTTGACAGAAGACAAATTTGTCATGAATATACAAGTTTGGGGATGGAGTTGACACAAGATTTAAGGGTGGCCAGAGATATGGAAAGGAGGAAAATTTTGTGAGAGGGAGATGAAAAGAAGATTACTATTGACATTAATTCAAATGTAATGCTTTTTTTAGGTTTTTTTAGTTTAAGAAATCTTTTGAGGCTGTGAGGTTTTAGGTTGAGGTTCAAATTTTCTTACTCGGGTTTACTGGATTATAAAAGGACATCCTTTCTTCCTAGTAGGGGATAGGATAAGACTACTGAATGTGCCAAGTACAATCCCTATATGTAACAGCAAATTCATTTCATTTTAAATGATTGCAAAATTGGGCCATGGATTGAGACATAGTAATCTATATATCAAACATACTGAGAACTATATAACTGAAGTAGATCAAGCTACGAAGAATTAACCAAGTTAAATCACATATGATAAAGCTTCTAGGAAAATCATTTGTCTCAACCTAGTTTTTCATTGATTATTAATACATTAATACTCAATATACTAAAGATGAATCAGTTATGGTCATTGAAAGTTCAAAGGACCACCGAACAGCTAATCCTTCGTACTTTATCGGTAATCAATAGAAGATTGTTACACTTCCCTAATGTTAGACGCTGGACCTAATAGTAATTAATAAACACACCAACACAGCAGAGTTCATTTAAATTACGCCCTAATGTTTTGATTTCAGCAACTGCCATCTAATATTCGGTACCAACAACCTAAGTTATATAGAGCCTGGCTTCCTAATCTTCATTTCAGGAAAATCCCTAATCAGCCAAAGCTATTCAAATGACCATAAAATAGGTAAACCATGCTAAATCTTAGTTCGAAAACACAATATGGAATGGAAATGGATAGTTGATGATTCTTAGCAAACTATATCCAATCGGCATATTTAGAAAATAATTAGCAACGAGAGTGTCAGACTAATTCATTTGTGAACTTGCCCAATCACGTAAGATCTTTTCACTCAAACTACGAATTCTTCCACGCCCACCACTGCCAGCGATTTATGCACTCCATTACCTGATGATGAGGCTAGGGAATGAACTAACTAAGTATTTGTTAATAAATTATTGACCTTCAGCTTCAGATCAAATGAAGTACCAGACACCTATTAGGTATTTGAAAAAATAAAGACGCTCAAATAGAAGTGGACGGAAAATAGTTCTTACACAGACAATTGTTCTTCAAGTTTAACAAGGTTGCCTGATTGGACGACCGCAGAGCAAATATGCGGTGGTGGAGAATGCCAAGTTCTGGAGTTAGATTAACTGAGTTTTTGTTTTGGGAATTGGTTTTTCTCCCCGGAAATGGAGACCAGATAAAATGCGATATTTATGAATGTTTTTTGTTTCTAATATTTTTGAAATAATATTTTTTAAATTTTATTCCATGTGTTAGTTTAAACTATTAGATTGAGAACGTGAGTTTTATGTACAACTCTATTTACATTTATTATGTATTTGTAGTATTTTACAACATAAAAAGCTCAAAATTGGACCATGTGATTTAAATGACAAAAAATAGTCAAAGTGGTGTTTAAGTTTTTAAATTATAAAGTGATAATCAAATTGCAAAAACATGTGCATTATACTACCTCCTATTGTTTTTAAATATCATTATAGTTTTATCAATAATTAATCAAACAAATAACGTTTTAGATCTTTTATACATATTTTTCCATTATTACCTCATCTAATTAATAAATATACTACGTCTTTTCATATTATTTTTTTTATCTTTTCTTATAATATCTGTCTTTATTTTTATTAATGAGGATTATTATTGATAAAAGGAAGATTATTAATTAATGTGTAACTTTTTAAAATCACACTTATATTAAAAATAAGAGTGAGTATGTAATTTTGCCGGAGAAAAATTTTTACAGTTTATTTTGGAGCTCCAATTATTGTTGTTTTTGTCACTTTGCAAATATCTCGAGCGCAGTTCTTTTATTGGGATTGGCCAGCCAAGCCATCCCCATTAATATAACTCATTCTTCTCTTATTTATTCTGATGATAGAATCCCATGTGATACCGACCAAACTTTCAGAAATACACACTTCCCCGAAAAAATCTCTCTTAGATAAGTAAACAATCTTTTCAAGTCGCTTGGACTATCGGAAGCAAGAAAAAGGGAATGGAAGAAGATGGGATTCAGGAGTGCAGCGTGAGGTTATTAGGTAGCAGCGCCAGCGGCGGGAGTGGCGGCGCCGCTTCCGGTGGCGGCGGCGGGTCTTGGCGGTGGGTGGATGGGAGTGAATTGGACTCTGAGTCCTCCCATTGGGCAGCTGTCGATGAAGAAAATAATGGAGAAGAGTATGGTGGCGCTGTTAGGAGAAGGCTAATAAAGAAGCCCAAAAGAGTTGACTCATTTGATGTTGAGGCACTGGAGATTGCTGGTGCTCATGGTCACCATATGAAGGTCTTTAAGATTAATAATTTGAAAGAAAAAAAAAAATCCAATCTTTTGATAGTTCTTGCGGTCTTGTGATACGTGTAGGCGATTGCTCAATCTTTTTTCACTTTATGTATTCGTGCGTGTTGTGTTTATTTATTTCATTTGATGCCTTGCGTATATATGGGGAAGATTTGTTGTGTATTGTTGGACCTGATTGAATCGGTTGTGGGGTTTTAGCATGTCAAGGACTGTGGCTTGTGTTTCAGTTTTAGTTGTGGTGGTGCTTTTTACATGTATGCTTTTGCGCGAAACTTTGACTTGGACTTGAAATTACTATCACTCAGGTTCTTCTTTCAGTTTATCATTATCATCATTGTCACTAATTTTATGATTTATCACTTTGCTTTCCTGTAGTACTGTGTTAATTTGCTGTGGCCTGTCATACACTGAAAAACGACAGATATTGCTAATCAAATTATCATCAGCTGTTTATCATTATTATTATTCATCATTTTCTCACAATGAACATATTTAACTGGTATGCAGGATGATTCTGTTTGGGCAACAATAGCATTGGCATTTCAAACGCTGGGTGTAGTGTATGGAGACATGGGCACAAGTCCTCTGTACGTATTTTCCGAGGTATTTAGTAAGGTGCCCATTACTTCAGACGTTGATGTCTTGGGAACCTTGTCGCTAGTAATGTACACGATTGCCCTAATTCCTCTAACAAAGTATGTCTTTGTAGTGCTGAAGGCGAACGATAATGGAGAAGGTATTACCAGATAATTGTTGAAAAACTGTAATCTTCTTGAATGTTAATTCCAAAACCCAAGATTAATTTATAATTCAATATTGCACGTTAATTGAAGTTGTGCCCTTCTAGAGTTACATAATTTTCCAAAGAAAAAAAAATGTCATTGACATCTCTTATTGGTTCAATAACAGGTGGAACGTTTGCATTGTACTCGTTGATCTGTAGGTATGCCAATGTTAATCTTCTTCCTAACCGTCAGCCTGCAGACGAACATATTTCAAGCTTCAAGCTCAAGCTACCAACTCCTGAACTAGAGAGGGCTTTGAATATAAAAGAAGTCTTGGAGCACAGGTCATATTTGAAGCAAGCTCTTTTATTGCTTGTCCTTATGGGGACGTCTATGATTATTGGGGACGGTATTCTGACTCCAGCCATGTCAGGTATCATCCAAGTAGTTTAAATCTTTCAGATTAATTGTCGCGAAATTATTTATTGAAAGTATTACACCAAGCATGTGTACTATTATTATTATTATTATTATTATTATTATTATTAATTTTACCTGGATTTGGCACAGGTGGATACGCCTCATTTTATCCATCTTATTATTTTGTGTGCTCTCTCTCTCTCTCTTGTGGATGTTTGGTATATTAAATGAAAATCTTGTTAGGGGCTATAAATTTAATTATTTTATCATTTTATATTGCAGATGCTCTTGTTATTACTTCGATTGTTATCCTTGTGGTACTGTTTAGCATACAGAGCTTTGGAACAAGTAAAATAGGCTTCATGTTTGCTCCTGCGCTGGCATTGTGGTTCTTTAGTTTGGGATCAATTGGGATTTACAATCTGTTCAAGCATGACATTACTGTTGTGAGGGCGATAAATCCTTTCTACATATACCTTTTCTTCAAGAAGAATAGCACCAAGGCTTGGTCGGCACTTGGTGGTTGTGTTTTATGTATCACAGGTGAGCTCTATCCTGTCTTTTTAACGTTTATCTGCATTTCCAAAGATAGGATTTGTTGCCTTGTTGTACAGGAAATAGAGAAAATGGAGTTTCAAATTATAATGTGTTGTAAATATTTTCATGCATGGCTTGTATATGATGGAATTTCCTAACAGAACCAAATGGAGTCGAGGTGCTGTCTGCGTATTGGTTAGTTCTCATTTTTCATGATAAAGCGTTATCACGTAAACTAGAGTATGCAATTCTAAGGTTTGTACAATTCTAGAGCACAAGAGGATAATTACTTGAGCATTTGGTGCAGCTACTAAATTGCCTATAACTTTAAATTGCTGTATAAAGTTTTGAATTGTGATCTCATATTTAACAGATTTAATGACGAAACACGACTATCTGGTAGTTTACACTTTTCTTGAAGTACCTGTCTATCATATAATCAAATTTCCTTTATCAGATTAACAAAGAACGATTTTTATACTTGAACTTGTTACTATAATAGAAATAGTACAATTTTTATACTTCAACGTAGCTGTTGGTTTATCTTGTAACCGTAAAATGACCTGTAAATGACATTTGCAGGTGCAGAGGCCATGTTTGCTGATTTAGGTCATTTCTCTGTACCATCCATTCAGGTTCTGTACTGTTTTACTTGGTTTACTTTTGTAAAGTCTCGCTTGGTCCATTTTTAATTTTTTTTTTCTCTATTTTCGAATTAAGTTGATTAACTTTCACAGATTGCTTTTACGACTGTAGTCTTTCCTTGTCTCCTCTTTGCTTATATGGGCCAAGCTGCCTATCTTATCAAACATCCACATTCAGCTGAAAGAATATTTTACGATTCTGTTCCAGGTGATGATTAGTATATATTTCCTTAATTCCCATTTTCTTATGTGCTAGTTTTGATAGGTTAACGATCTTTTTTGACATTAGAGATGGTTGAAAAATGTTGTACAGAGGGTCTTTTCTGGCCGGTTTTTGTGACGGCCACTGTTGCTGCCATAATTGCTAGTCAGGCCATGATATCCGCTTCGTTCTCGTGCGTGAAGCAAGCCATGGCTCTTGGGTGCTTCCCTAGGCTGAAGATCATTCACACTTCTCGAAAACTGATGGGTCAAATTTACATTCCCGTCATAAACTACTTCTTGATGGTCATGTGCATTATTGTGGTTGCTGTTTTCAGAAGCACAACACATATCGCAAACGCATACGGTTAGTGTTTTTTCCCCCCTTTTTCTACTGAAAGTTGGTAATGCTTCAACACCATTTATTTATTTATTTAATTTTGGCAAAAATGCATTTTTAGTCTTGTTGGTTTAAAGCCTCAGCAATTTTAGTCCCAAAGTTCCAACTGTTCTTCTTAACTTAACTGTGATTTAATATTTTGCTTCAATTTCAGTCCTCAAAGGACTACCATCGCAACCAAATTTTAAATCACAGGACTTGACTGAAATCGCAACAAAATTTAAAATTACAGGACTAAAATTGCTAATAATAAATCCTTGGAAAAAAAAAAAAAAAAAAGGTGCGAACTTGTTGCAATTCCAGTCCTCCTTTGAGGACTGAAATTGCATCAAAAATATTAAATCACACAACTGAAAACCCACCCGGCGAAACGTGACTAAAAACTGCTACGGCGTTAAAACCAGTGGGGACTAAAAACGCAATTTAGCCTTTTTAATTTTTTCCCATTTCCCATAATACCCTTTTCAGGCATCGCCGAAGTCGGGGTGATGATGGTGAGCACGTCCCTAGTGACCCTCGTGATGCTCCTCATCTGGCAGACGAGCCTCCTCTCCGCCCTCTCCTTCCTTCTCCTCTTCGGCTCCGCCGAGCTCGTCTACCTCTCGGCCGTCCTCACAAAGATCGCCGAAGGCGGGTGGGTCCCACTCGCCTTCGCCTCCTTCTTCCTCTCCGTCATGTACGCTTGGAATTACGGAAGCGTCCTCAAATACCACAGCGAAGTCCGCGCAAAGATACCTACAAACCTCATGCTCGAGCTCGGCTCCTCCCTCGGCACCATGCGCGTCCCGGGCATCGGCCTCGTCTACAACGAGCTCGTCCAAGGCATCCCTTCCGTGTTCGGCCGATTCTTGCTCGACCTCCCGGCCATCCACTCGACTATCGTCTTCGTGTGCATAAAGTACGTCCCGGTGCCCGTTGTCCCGCAAGAGGAGCGGTTTTTGTTCAGGCGGGTTTGCCCGAGAGACTACCACATGTTCCGGTGCATCGCGAGGTACGGTTACAAGGACGTGCGCAAGGAGGACCACCGAGCGTTCGAGCGGCTTCTGGTGGAGAGCCTCGAGGGGTTTTTGAGGCAGGAGGCTCGGGAGCTTGCGTTGGAGTTGGAGGGAGATTTGCATCGCGATTCGGGAGTGGAGTACGAGCTGGCGGAGTTGAGGGAGGCGAGCGAGTCGGGGTTTACGTACCTGTTGGGGGATGGGGACGTGCGGGCGGCCAAGGACTCGTTTTTTTTTAAGAAGTTGGTGGTGAACTATTTTTATGCGTTTCTGAGGAGGAACTGCAGGGGAGGTGCGGCGACGATGAGGGTGCCCCGTATGAATATTATGCAGGTTAGGATAACGTATACTGTGTGATTCTTTTTTTCTTTTTTCTTTTTTGTAAGTGTGTGTGTTAAGTATGTGGCAAGTAGGGATACGGTATTGTTGTTGTGATGTTTTCTTGATAAGAAAAGGAAAAAATGTTGTTTTGGTGCCCTGACTATTCCCTATTTTTTTACTTTTAATAACCCTATCTAATCACTTAATCAGTTTACATACCATATCTTTGGCCCGTCCATCAATTTTGGTACAAAAGTTAGAGTATCTCCAATGCTCAACTTTCAACATTAATTAAATTTGAACACATGTCAATCAATGGATTAATGTTTAATCTACATGAACTGAATGTTAAAAGAATAGGACTTTCATTTGAATTGTTGTCTCCAATGCATCCATTCAACAACCATACAATTTGTATATGTGGATTTATTTAATTATTAATAAAATCAAAGAGTATATTAGAAAAAAACCACAAATTTCAATAATTATATGCATTATGTTATTTTTTGTTGATTCAGTTAATTTTTATTTATATCATCAAATTTATAAAATTATTATTTATTCAATAATTTCTCAGTTACAATATGTATAACCACACAATAAATATTTTTTTAATTAGTTCAAAATAAAACAACAAAATATTAAAATTGCAATAACTCAACAAACAAATATCATGAACATAATATTTTATTTTTAAGGACATTATTATTGATAAATTTTTTAAATTTTAGTTGTAACTCATCAAATAATTATACTGTATTCAAATAAATTCTCAAATGTTTTATTGGATAAATGTAAGGGTAGGATTTTTCCAAGTTTATGAAAAGCTCAAAATTTGTGTCAAATAATTATCAAAATGATGAGTCATCATGTTAGAAAAGAATGTGAGAAATTAGAAAGTGAGCTTGACAATGTTAACATTAATTTTTTACACATAAGCATGAAAGGACCCATAATCTAATGCATTGGAGGATATATTATTCACACACTTTCTATCTAGATTAGGTGGATAACTTTTTACCCTTTCAAAAGAATGCATTAGAGATGCTCTTAGTGAAGCGTCTTTGACTGACGGTTGACTTGTTACAGTAGGTGAAAATGTAGTATAAAAGGGGAATATTTTACTCTTCTCTTGTGTTAGTAAAAGTGAACTCGACCTTCAGCAAAAAAAAATTTAGAAAAATGAAAAATAAAAAACTGAAAATGAGTTCTTTCAGATGGGAGTTGAAATTCTTCATTTTTTAGCTCTGTTCTAAAAATCGGCCTAAGCGTTAGGCGGTGCCTGGCCGCCTTCGATTTGCACAAATCGGTCGAAAAAATCGACCTGGCGGCGCCTAAACAGACTTGGCGGGCTCGACGGTAATTTTTTTTTATATTTTTTAAATACTAATTATATTATTTTGTTCTCATGTTTTCTTTAAAATATATTAATATTATTTTTGGACTTAGGTGTGTGGATTTATTATAAGTTGAGATAATTTTATTTTGTAGGATGTTAAAATAAATAAAAAATAAGGTATTTAATAATGATTTCTAGGCTCCGACTAGGCGTTCTTGGCGAGCGCCTAGCGACTTTTAGAACACTGTTTTTCAGAGTATCAAATGCTGAAGCCTAATGCCATTGTGGGATGTCCTTGAAGACTTCTTAGTGTTAGCGTATACTGCAGAAGTTTGTCTTTGTGTTACGAACAATTTCATTTTGAACGCGATTCATGTTTTAGTCTAGTATATCTTTGCAGTTTATTTATTTATGTGAACATAGTTCGTTTATTTTACATTGTAGATTGTATGGTTTGATGTGTTGAACCCAAAACTCATATTTTCGGTGCCTTGTAAAATAAAAATTACTGGTTCACAACCTAGACATAATTGACTAACTGTCATGAACGGTTGTAGTATAATTTTAGAAGTAGTTGATCTTAACTAATAAATTACACTAGTACATTTCAGTGTTGAATGAACCTAGAGGAAAAGATTATTTTATATTGACCAAGTAAATTATCTAGACCTAAGTTATTACTACGTTTTCTCAATGCGTAAGATAATAAACGGACATATGTATTCGGTTATTATTTATTTAATTTACCAAATAGTGAGAATTATTATAAGCCGAAAGCCCCAGTATTTTGGTAAATAATTCTGATTACATGATTCACCATTAAAATTCTTTACAATCACTGTATCCCGATGCGTGGGGTTAATGACATTCCCAAAATGAGCTTAAGAATGATTACTACGCCAAGCCTTGCCGACGGATTAAATTCCAACATAATAATAAAGAATTGAGTGTTTCTAACATAATAATAAAGAATTTAGTGGTATCAATTTCGAATCAAGAAGTTGATTAATTATATTCACTATAAAATTAATCAACAAATGTTAGATCTTAAATATGAGAAGGTAAATTAACTATATAAAACATGAGATGAATTAAATGTAATTTTAAGTTAAATTGGAAGTTCAATAATTTTCTTTAGTGAGATGAAATATTATTCATGTGGGTTAGGTGTAGGTAGACCAGAACATACAATTTTCATGTACTAAATAGATTATGTTGTTTATTATTTGAATTTTTGATCCTATAATTGTAGAGACAGGTGACCAAAGTGGATCGGAAGATTATCAGATTTTTCATTCGTCTGGATCTGTCTCTTAATTTTCCAATACTGCCTATTTGTTTTTTGTAGTTTAGATACCGAAATTTGACGGTTGAAGGTTGGGAGAGTTTCTACCATAACAGGATTGAGTCGTGGCGTAGAATTCTTTATGCACCTTGATATATTGTGATATTCGGTCGTGTTTATTATTAGATTGTGCACTATTTTTTGTCGTTAGTTTTGCAGGAAATATGCCACACGAGTCATGTGGAGTCACGCGAGTATTTATACGTTGATTGTTATGCATTTTTGTGATTGACTTGAGATCGAGTACGTATACGTTGATTGTTATGAAATTTTTTAGTTGGAATGTAGATGAAAGTGAAATGAATTAACAAAAAATAAAATAAAAAGAAAAACAACCATAAAAATTTAATGAATGTTTAACAATAAAATCAAAGTTCAACATTCATTACATCACTGTTGTGCCCTGTCCCAATCCAACCTGCACCGAGCCAATAAATCTGCATAATGCACCACCAAATCTGAAGAAACCTCCTCGCAATCCCGGCAGAAGTCTGATGTCAGGGAGAATAGAAGATTGACCCACTACACACAACAAAGGAGAATTCAAATATATGATCAGATATATATTAAAAAAAATTGTAATGAAAGAACATTAACTAAAATTCAGTAAACGACTTACATAACTGGTATTGCCGCGCGTAGGGACCACGTGCTCGTCCGATAGAGTATCACCTAACACAATAGGATGGGAAACCTGAGCGTACTACTCTGAGTACTGCCGATCGACCTCCCCTAGATCACTACTGGTGGGGGTCAACATAGTGGTGTTGGCGCACACCACCATCAGGAACTGGTGCCAGGTATCTACCGCTGCAATATCAGCATGCTCAATCATGTAGAGCCTAGACTCCCAAGCACGTACTTTGTGGATGGACAGATCATGCGGGGATGGGCAGTCTTGACAAACCCAGCTAACGCAAAAACCGCAAAGGCAAGTACGACTCCACAATATGGTGGTACCTAAGGAATCCGCAATAAAGGGTCGTTATATCGAATGTGGACTGCGGGCGTATGACAATCAGTGCACCTGTTCACAATTGCATAAAAACATTCATTAAAAAATTCTATTAATTGAAATAACTTGTAACTAAATTTAAATAAAATAACTTAACGTACATCGAAGGTGGTGACAGTGTTAAGGGGACGGAGAGAGGTGAGACGATGTTATGTCCTCTCCATCACCCCTACGCTCCACGAGCGAGATCATGCAACACAGTCAGGATCGATGGGCGCTCTCGCTGGGGTCGGAAGCAGGGGAAGTATTTATATATCCAGGACTGCAGAAGAGTCAAGCAGCCAGACAGTCCCTATGTGTCCCCTCTGCTGGTGTTTGTCCCATTTTTGTTGCATTTTTTGTGTTCATTTCACTTTTTCTTTCCCCCCATTTTAGGTCGTTTCTTTCGTTTTTAGTCTGTTTCGGGTTTTATTATGTGTTTTCCTTCATTTTGAGTCTTTAAGTGTTTTTCGGTTGTTTTTGTGTTTTGTCGTTTTTGGTGTGTAGGTCGGAGCTTCGGGCGAACTTTATCTTCAGGAAAAATTGGTTTCGCGAGCATAATTGGATAGAGGGGTTCGTTAGCGACGCGTAGGAAAAAATGAAACTCAATTCCGAGTTCGGCCGAGCCTAAACGAGCCCGAAACATTAAGCCGCGCGCAGCAGCCCAATTTTCTTCACCGCGGGCAGCGGAGGAATCCCGCGGCCGCGGAGCCCTTCTGCAGCTGAAATCTCGCGGCCTCGGAGCTTTCTGCGGCCGCGGAGGTCGCGACCAGAATTTTAAAAGCTAGATTTTGTTCATTTGTTCGAGTACTTTGCACTGGGACTCGTTCCCAGACCTAAAATAACACCCCAAACTCGTTTTTCTCCTGATTTTCATCTGAAAAAACACAATTGATCTTGGTTTTCATCTTGATTTCTTTATTGCCTTCGGATTAATCTCGTATCTTGGATTCAACATTCAATACCCTTTTAATCGTAAGTTTTTCTATTCATTTAATCCATGAATATGATTGTTGTGATTGTTGAGCTTGATTGTGTTGAATTGAATATGAATAATTAATTCGATTCGCTAGGGATAGGGGATGATGTTTTGAATTCGATTGTGATTATCGTGCTTCTTGATCCTTCAATTTATGCGAGTTGTTTTTAAAAGGGTTTTCGGTTATCATACTTGATTGTTGTATGTTGTTGATGAGTGACACCTCAACTTGCAATTGATTTTCAATTGGACATGATTCATTCGGGTTTGATGTTGTTAATTCTTAAAGATTAGTCGATTAACCACCTTCTAGTCCAATTTAATCGACTCTTAGAACCGAAAGGGGAGGAGTTGA